ACATACACTGCCCCCTATACATACACTGCCCACCCATACACACACTGCCCCAAAAACACTGCACACCCATACACACACAGACACATACAGTGCCCTACACACACTGCTGCCCCCCCCATACACACATTGCCCCACACACACACTGCCCCCCATATATACAGTGCCCCCTATACACACACTGCCCCCCATACATAAAGTGCCCTCCCCATACAACACACTAACCCCACAAAGACATACAGTGCCCCCCATACACACACTGCCCCACACACACACTGCAACCCTGACATACACTGCCGCCCTCACGCACTCACACACACTGCACCTTTCACACACACTTCACCCCTAACACACACACCACCGCTCCTATGCCCTATATCCCAGCAGACCACAGGTAAGTTGTCAAACTGTTCTTAAACGGTATGACTACTTACTCTGGGGTGGGATCCTAGCACTACTGGCACCATAACTACTACACTAAGCTGTAGTGGTTATTGTGCCAGGATTATTTATTTAAATAATCTACAAGTGCCCCTCCCGAGATCAGGCTCTGGATTTGCCACTGTCTGTAGGGGGTCGCCCTTTAAGAGCTGCAGCTTCTGGAAGAAGAGAGATTGGACTATTCCCAGGAGAAGGAGCTAACAAGTCAAAGGTATGTCAAAAAAGAACAGATATCCAAAAAAATGTCCAAGGCAGTGTGGACAGCAGAAGAACTGAGGCATTATGGTTCAGGGGGCTATTTATAGGCTAAGAATTTAGCCCTGTCCAATGGGAATGATGGATGGAGCCAACCTTAGAGTGTTGCTAACTTGCTGACATGGCCATGCAGGAATTTTTTATATATATATATATATATATATAATCTAATTCTCAGTGTATATTTATATGTTATTTTTCAATAATTATGTTATTTTATTAATTCAATGTTGGGGATCTGCTGACACTCAGACAGTTCCCCTGCAGGGGCATTCATAGCTCCAGGGACGGCACGATTGTTAGGACTTAATATGCCGCCCAATCAGCGTTAAAGCCCTCCTTTCTGTAGGACGACATAGCACGTCCTAATGGCGTTAAGGAGTTAGATAATAATTGAAAAAACAGACTGCTGGCTATTTAAGCTTCCTATTAATGTGTAACTATGCTTTATTTACTATTTCATACAGATTTAACACTTTGTTAGTTGTACCCCACTTACTATAACTTGTACAGGATTACACAGTAAAGAGTGTTTAATTTAATATACCCTTAATTTCCAGACACAAAAGCCAAACTGATGTCAGAGCTGACATCCTGGGTATATTTCTAATGTTGCCAGTTTGGCCTAGAATTTTAAATTCACTTTGAATTCAGACTTTACAGAATAACCCGTTGAATGAGCGCATGCGCATTCAGATATTCTTCAAATGGAAACAATTGCAAAATAATCAAATAATACCTTCTCAGTATCAGGTACATGTCAGACCCTTTATAGCCACTAGGGGGCAGCAACAGCTAAGTATTGCTTCTTAGAACAAACACTATTTTGCTGGTTCTTTGAATGCAAGCTTAAGGGATGTACATTTATTTCTGGTTTTGAAGCAATTTGCATAGAATGCCAATGATTTGAGCAATAGTATTCTTGGAAACCAATTCGTTTATTTTGCAATTCTCTTACGTGCGTTTATTACTGCCTGATTTCCTCGGGATTACTTTTATTGGAAACATTTGAACAAGACAGCATTGGAAAGTCCCAGAATCTTGGCTTCCCTTCTATCTATAGACATGCCGGTCTATGATGTATAACCTCAGTACTCCTAATGTCTCCGAACTATATTTCCCATGAAGACTTGCGGGTATAAAGGCCCTTTAATACAATAAATAAATCAGGATTATTCATGTGAATTGTCAGGAACATTTAAAGAGCATTCAAGGTTCAAACAGTCAAACTGAAAACGATTGGGTTATTTACTAAGGTGAGAATTGTTGGGAATTTAAAAAATAAAATTCAAATTTAATGCTAAAGCCGTGGCATCGGAAGCTGATTTGGAGAATTTTTCCAGTTAGGCTAGTTTGGCTTTAAAGGGACACTATAGTCACCAAAACATCTTTAGCTGAATGAATCAGTTTTGGTGTATAGATCATGCCCCTGCCGTCTCACTGCTCAATTTCCTGCCATTTAGGAGTTAAATCACTTTTGTTTCTGTTTATTCAGCCCTAGCCACATCTTCCCTGGCTGTGACTGACACAACCTGCATTAAAAAAATGGTTTCCTTTTCAATCACATGTTAACTTGCTTTAGACATTTTTATGTCCTGCTCTATAGGTTTGACTGTTAACACACACAGGAGCTTCTGCAGTGTCTAGAAGGATATTAACAGAACAGGAGACGAGGGATTCCCTAAATAATTAGAGCATTTCTGGGAAGCTCCCACCCGACCTGAGCAGAATGCTGTTCCCACCTCCTATAACCTCTGATCCAGTACCAGCACTTTACTTAGTCTACCTCAATACAAAAAGAAACCGTCTCGATCCTCCTTTTCCTACAGAGCGCCGCAATTATGGAACAACCTCCCGTACAATTAAAATTTTTCCCTAAGCCTTAAGTCCTTTAAGAGATCCCTTTCTACATACCTCAAAATGGAATGTACCTGTCATGGTTGATTATATATTTCCTACCTGTTCTATGTTACATTTTGTATATATTGTGTATTAATATTGTTTTTGTATTTTATTGTACCCTATTGTAGCAGTGCAATGTTTTGTGGATCCAGGACATACTTGAAAATGAGAGAAATCTCAATGTATCTTTCCTGGCAAAATATTTTATAAATAAATAATAAATAAACGGAATTTGCAATAAAGGAAGTTTAGAAATTAGATCTCTCTTTACAGGAAGTGTTTAGGAAGGCTGTGAGGCAGGTGTGACTAGAGCAGTATAAACAAAGCGATTTAACTCCTAAACAGCAGAGAAATGAGTAGTGAGACTGCAGGGACATGATTTATACACTGAAACAGCTTCATTATGCTAAAGTTGTTTTGGTGCCTTTATTTGAAATTCACGTTTAATTCCCCCAAACGCTCACTTTAGTAAATAATTTTGATAGTGTACTGGTCTATTGTGGCCTAAAATCTGAAACTCACCAGTCTCCTTCAGGTGAGTATTATAATTAAATCGTCTACAATCGAGACAATTTGCTTGCTAATGTATAGATTAAAGGATATGGGTATTCTGATGCTCTGATGCCCTATTCACTAAACTGTGAATTATGGGGAATTTGCCAATGGAGTTGCTCATTTTAGACCACAATAGCCAAAGTCTAAGAATCTTAAAAGCCGCTATTTACCCAGTTCCCCTACTCGGTTCCTGTTTTATTGAAAAAGTTCTCCTTGTCTTTACGTAACATTCTGTAATCAAGCTGTTTAAATATGAGCTTATTTTACAGAAATTCATCTATTATTTCTACCTGTACGTCAAGGGCTGTGAGATGTATAAACCTGTCCCTCATTTGGAATTGGCGGTTTTATTTGTCTTGTTTAGCTTTGCAACTTGTTTTTGGAATACTGTAAGTGGGTATTTCCCTGTGCCCACCAGCGGCTGGGTGGGGATAATGAGTGGGGTAGCAGATTTCAAGTGGGTCTTCGTTTTAATTTTTACGCCATGCCATTATGACAACAGATTTTTACTACAATTGCAAAGCTGCATCTGTTTTTTTAGCTTCCAAATATAGCCGGTGACAGAAGTTCTCCTCTGCAGGGTCTTTTAATCTACCTGTGCGACTGATTAACGAATAACTTTTATTTTTTAATTATTATTATTATTAGGGTTATTCTACAGAGCTTTACAAATTCAATGCTGTGATCTGGAAATGGGGTTAGTATGGACCCTGCTCGAATGAGCTTACAATCTAGACTACACTTCAAAAACAATTTTTTATAAAAAAAACAAAAAAACACCCATTGCACAGTGGGCAGACATTGTGCGACATTTCAGTAGAAGCCAAACATTACAAGGGACCCCGAGATCTGCAGAATTGGAATTAAATCGCACATCTGTCTACACTGCACTCGTATATTCATATAGCACAATCACTTTGTATTCTGAATGTTACATTGTATCACGTGATAGTTCATGTGACCTATTTTCCAAACACTGGTTGGATATTGTCCAAGCAACCTTCCTTATTTTACAACTGGTGCAGGACTCGGGGTGCATCGCACAAGCAAATTTCAATGGGGGGGCTTAGTAACATTTGTTACATAAATTATATTTAGCTGATA